ACACTTGCACACACTCACGGCTATTGCACACATGGCCCTAGCACACACCCACACGGAACTACATGCACTAATAGTGATTAACCTTAATTAATCACACTTAATGCTTAATCAAGATAATTAAGCATAATACTTAACTGATAAAATTATTCCGGACGTAAACGGTACGTCGGAAATAATTTTCGGGAATTCGGACTGAAATAACTGAAATTAATTAACTCCGAAATTAAAAATCGGAACTGAATTATTATAATACTGATAAAAGTTGGGATATTACACTCCGTCCACTTGAATGCTCCCTTCTTCGTGATCTTCGTGAGTTGCTTCGCGATGGTCCTATATTCCATTACGAATTTTCGATAATAGCCCGTGAGACCAAGAAACCCTCGCAACTGCGTCAAGCTCGTGGGTTTCGGCCAACCCACCATCGCCTCAATCTTCCTTGGATCCACCTTGACACCATCATGAGAAATAAAGTGCCCAAGGTACTCGACCACATCTTGAGCAAACGAACACTTGGACGATTTGATGTAGAATGAATTAGCCTCCAAGATTACCAAAACAACCCGCAAGTGCCCAAGATGATCCACCCAAGTCCTCGAATACACCAAGATGTCATCAAAGAATACCAACACAAATTTGCGAAGGTACTCCTTGAAGATGGAATTCATCGCAAATTGAAATGTCGACGGCGCATTGCACAAACCAAAAGGCATCACGAGATATTCGTATTGCCCTTGGTGCGTGCGAAATGCCATTTTGGGCACGTCCTCCTTGGCCAACTTGATCTGATGGTAGCCCGCGCGCAAGTTGAGCTTGGAGAAGTAGAGCGCGCCACCCAACTCGTCCAGCATGTCGTCGACGCTTTGAATAGGAAAGTGATCCTTCACGGTAGCTGCATTGAGAGCGCGGTGGTCCGTGCAGAACCGCCACGTGCCGTCCTTCTTCTTTGCGAGCAGCACCGGTGATGAGAACGAGCTCGTGCTATGCTGGATGAGCCCAGACTCGAGCATCTCGCCCACTTGCCGCTCGATCTCTGACTTCTGAAAGTGTGCGTACCTATAGGGATGCACGTGCACTGCTCGACCGAACAAGTACCGAACAAGCACGCAAGCCGCCATGCATTCCACGAGCGAATTGAAGGGTACACTCTTATTTACCTTCTTTTTATGTATTTAAGTCCATGTTAGTAAGATCATGTCAAAATCATGTCGTTCGGCTTAAGTTTTTGTGCGAAAACGTCCTCGGAGGTGCTATATAAGCCCCCTCCGAGTGATTTCACAATCCAACCGGCAAGTCCCGATTAATCTATTTATATTTAGTCATGATAAGTAATTTTATGATCAGTCATATGTGGGTTGCCGGAAAAAGTAGCCGGTCGGCCGGCGAAAAGCCGACCGTGATGCCTACCGCACACAGCGTGCGCATAGGCGCGCTCGGCAGTCCCAGCAGGCACGCTGACGGCGTCTGCGCACCCAGCAGTGTGCACGCGTAACCAGTACCCCGCAGCCAAGCCTCGCGCTGCTCCAGTCATGCGCGTAGACGTGCGCATTGCACGTCAACACGCATGGCAGCGTCCACCTAGCCAGTCCGCGTACACCGCAACGCATCACATGCCCAGCAGCGTGTCCTGCAACGCCCGTACGCATGCCATTAGCGTCCTACGCACACTGGCCAGTCACCACGCACGCCAGCACGCACAGCAGCGTGCCAGCGATGCTCAGCGGGCCTCGACGTTGCCCGGCAGCACGCCCAAGCGCCCAGTCAGCCCAGCACGCGCAGCCCGCATGCCAGTCACCTACCTACGGCGCACAGCAGCGCTCGGTAGTATTTGTACGTGCCAGTACCATCGTCAGCGTGCACAGTAGTGGTCAGTCATGCCCAGCAAGCGTCCAGCCGTCGCTGGCCGTGCACATCGTCACGCAAGTGATCGTCCCCAGCGCACGCACGGTACCAGCAGCACCTGCCAGCGGACGGGACCAAGCCAGTCAGCGCCCGCAGCGCCGGCAACGCCCAGGCCGCGCCTAGTGCGCGAGTGACCGAGCCGGTGGTTAGCCGGTGGCCGATCGTCCGGCCACAGCGAGCTGGCGCTCCGGCCAGTCAGTAAACAGGCCAGTTCAGACCGGTTACTTGAGCAGTTCAGTATTCAGTGACCTGGTCCGAGTTTAGTATAGTATTTCAGTTAATTTTTCAGTCCAGTCAGTTCAGTACGCCAGTGTCAGTTCAGTCCGGTTTTCTTGTCAGTCAAGTTTAACCCCGAGATAGTACTAGCTAAATGTTTAGATCGAGCCGAGTATCTTAACAGCTATTTTCAGTCAGTCTAAGCATAGTACTTAGTATTTGTTTATTTATTTATATTTTTACAGATTGATCAGCAGCAGCACTTACATATTCAGACTATCAGTTCAGGCGGGGACTCAGACTAAGTATTACACTGACTATAATTACTCTACTATGTTTAAGGTATGTATATGAGATATCCACTTTGGGTGGAGGCGCAGTAGCCTTAATTGTCCATCCAGAGTTCTGATGGAGGCGCAAGGCCTTAAGTATCCATCAGAGTGTGCACATGGCGGACATAGTGTCTGAGACAGTTTAGTTTAGTTACAGATCTTGTGTCTGGAGATTACAGTTTACTTATATATACCTGCAGCCATGATATTGATATTATTATTAATGTTTACTTTAGTATGAGTTTCTGCGGAGCACAGTGGCTTTAGTTCTCACGCTCCCACTATATTATCTTTTTCAGGTGTCAGGGTCGGTCCAGAGGAGTGAGCGGAGCAGGTGGTTGTTGGTCCAGTACATATGCTTTTGCAGACTTATGATATGTATATTATTTGCCACGTTTTTACTTCCGCTGATGTTTTTAGACTTTCAAACTAGCATGTTATTTTTTAGACTTTGATCCGAGCCTTCCGGATGGATTTTATACATCATTACACGCTCATTTGATAAAAGACAATCCATTTTTCATAATAGTTCTAATCTAGAAAAGATAACGGATTTTTAGATAAGGAATGTTTTTCAGTAGCATCCCGAGTCATGATTTCGCAAACTAATACGTATTTTTAGAAAAGAATTTGCGAAAATCGCACTCTGATTTTAGTAAGCTAGCGGGGTGTTACAAATGGTATCAGAGCACGTTTTTGTGTATCTGAATACATTATTAAGTCAAGAAGTTTTTAGAAAACCCAACCACATCACGCTCACGCCTCACCGACTACCAGGTAAGTGCTGATTTACAGTTTATATATCTAAACAAATGCCTAAGTCTATGCTCAGTAGGGTGTCAGAGATGCAACCCTAGAAACCAGTATAGATGCTCGAGTTAGTCATGAAGTATTTTTAGGACATAGTCGACTTATTTTAGTTATTCGATAATTCGACTCTAGTTTTCTCGGGTTAAGTTTGAGAACTCTAGATTTAATTCTAGATTGGTTGGGTAACTTTTTGCGACTCGTCAAGAGATATGTGAGTTATTAAGTAATACAAATCTTATCAGACATGTTTCCCAAACATTTTTCTATCAGAAATTACCATTTTTGCCATTCAGTTTGCATGTTCCAGCAAGAAATTTCTTGACTTAGATCAGGGAACAGACTCAAAGTTAAATCAATAAACCAAGTTCAAAGCTAAATTTCATGCTAAAGGTTGTTATATTTCTTAAATCATTGCCAAAGGTAACGGTTTCCTCTGTATAAAAGTCAATATTCCGGGTTACCATGGAGGCTTGAAATAAGAGCCATTAAGCCGGGTATACCATGGAGGCTTGAAGTTGGGACCGGAGCAGTATAGTTTCAGGAAATGACAACCTTTAGAGTCAATTAAGTCGGGTATCTTACCAGTTAGATACTCTGAGTTTAGTTGGCAAAGTTCAAGATCAGTTGTTTATTCAGTACTTGCGCGACCAGTTGATACTGGAGCAGCCCTATATAGTACATAATCAGAAGTCAATGATCACGATTTAAGGTCAATGTTTATGAGTCAAGATCGACGTATAATAGTTATTAAGCTAGGTCAAATATGGAGGTCTGATATACAAATCAGTAATCCAAATTTACTTGGAAACTTGAAGTTGCACCTTATCAACCCACAGTAAGTCAGTAAATTCCATGTTCCAATTTCCAAGATGACCATTAAATTGTCTCAAGATAGCTTCCAGAGTTCAAGTAAAGGTTAAATAGTCATGTAAAAGTCAAGTCATGGTTATCCAGTTATGTGAATGTTGAGACTAGTCATGTGAAAGTCGAGGATGGTCTGTCTAATAAGACAAAACTTATCAGTTATTTCAAGTATATCCAATGCCTCGATTCTCAAATTCTGAAATATGAGAAATTGCAGGAAGGATTAGTTCATGATGGACTTCTCATGAGGTTAAATTTTGGCCTCAGGGAAGGTAAACAGTTGCAGGTACCACATGTTGACA